TCGTTATTCTGCTCATCCCTCCTCCCAAGATCCCTTCTCCTCCCCAAGGCCCTTCTTTGCCTCTCCCCTCTTCCAAATATCCTGGCCTCCTCTGATTGTTGACTCATGTGGTCTTTCTTTTTTTTTCTCCGTGCTGGGCTCTGGCTTGGGGTCACCACCCCAAGCCCCCTCTTCCTCTCCATGCGATGCGGCCCCTTCTTCCTTTTTCGGCTTGGATCCAGGCCTTGGGACCACTTCCGGCCTCTCCTTTTCTCCCTCCCCCCGCCCCCCGCAGCTCAGTTGCAAAACTCACTGGCAACACCCCTACCACCACCACCCCCGCCCCCAAATAACCCTAATTCTAATCCTAATGCCTTTCCTTTTCCTGGCTTGGTTTTCTCTTTCTCTCTGTGCACCCACCGTGGGTTTCTAAAGTTGCATCAAGTTATTATTTCTTCTCCAAGTCTTCTCAGCTCTTATAAGGGGGCAACTACGTGTCGTCGTCCCCCACGATGCCTTTGATCTCCGGCCAAGCCACCCACCCAGCTCGCTTCCCATGTCTTTGTTCCTCGAAGACCGGGCAAAAAGGGGAAATGGAGGGGGGGTTGTCTGGCTTTTCTCCAATCCCTTCTCTTTAAAAAAGAGAAAGGGGGGGGGAGAAGAAGGACAGAGAAAAGAGAGGGACAGAAAGGGCAAGAGAGAGAGGGGGGAAGGGAGAGGGAGAAAGAAAAAGAGAAAGGAACAGGAAGAGAAAGAAACGGAGAGGGAGCGAGAGAGAGAGGGAGGGAGAGAGGAAGAGGGAGAAAGAAAGAGAGTATGGAACAGGAAGAGAAAGAGAGAGAGAGAAAGAGAGAGAGAGAGAGGAAGAAAGAGAGAAAGAAAGATGGAAGGAGAGAGGAAGAGGGAGAAAGAAAGAAACAGGCAGAGAAAGAGAGGAAGTGGGGGAGAGAGAAAGGGAGAGGGAGAAAGAGAAAGAAGAGAGCAACAGGATAAGAAACAAGAGAGAGAGGAAGACAGAGAGAGGAAGGGGAAAAGAGGAAGAGACAGATGGAGAGAGAGCAACAAGAGAGAGGAAGAGAATGAGAGAAGAGGGAGAGAGGGAGAGAGGGAAAGAGAGAGAGGAACAGGACAAGAAACAGAGGAAGAGAAAGAGGAAGAATGAGAGAGGAAGAGGGAAAGAGGAAGAGAGAGAGATGGAGGGAGAGGAACAGGAAGAAAGAGGAAGAAAGGAAGAGGAAGAGATAAGAGTGGAAGAGAAAGAGAGGAGGGAGACAAGACGGGAGAGAGAGAGAGAACAGGAAGAGAGAGAAAAGAGAGAGGAAGAGAGAGAAAGGAAAAAAGAGCAACAAAGAAAGAGAGGAAGAGAGAGAGAAAGACAGACAGACAGACTGACTGACTGGGGTCACTTTTAATTCTTTCAAGCTGCAGCTTAAACCCAAGAGCAAAACTTTTTCCCAGTAGCTAAAAACATGAAAATTTGGAACGGGACAAGGAAAAGAATAAAGGGAAGTGGAAGAGAGAAACTGCGGACAATAGCAGGCTTCCCACTGCCCCCCCCCCAATTTATTTATTTATTTTTAAATGTAAAATAACAAAAAAATCCTTGGGAAAGCACCCAAACAGCCTTGAGTCTTTCAAGGAACCGTTGTGTAATCAGGAGGGACGTGATTGAGAAAAGAGGCAAGGATGCAAGGATATTTATGACTAAGTGAGCAGAATGAGGTATTGGTTATTTACTTAGCAATTTATTGGTTAGAACAACCGAATGTTTTTAAAAGAAAAGATTGGATAAGCATAGAAGAAGGTGTCCTGTGTCGGGGAAGACAGAGGGGGTGGACTAGAAGACCTCCAAGGTCCCTTCCAGCTCTGAGATTGTATGTAGCTGCCCATCTCACAATGCAGAGAAATGACATAAGCAAGAAAAGTGTAAAAACCTTCAGTTATGACCACCAAATAGGATTTCCCACACTGCCTTTGTCCATTAACTTGGTTTATTGAATAAGCCACCAAGACAATAATGCCAAACCATCATCCTAGGTCTACTTTAACACATGGTTTGAAGAATAGAGTAGAATAACAGAGTTGGAAGGGACCTTGAAGGTCTTCTAGTCTAACCCCTTGCTCAGGCAGGAAACGCTATACCATTTCAGGCAAATGGTTATCTAATCTCTTCTTTAAAATTTCCAGTGTTGGAACACCCACAACTTCTAGTGGCAAGAAGTTCCACTGATTAATTGATCTCACTTCTTAGTTGAGATTTGTTGTTTATGGGAACCCCTTTTGACTGCGGCTTGCTGGCTTTGTGAGGCACAGGTCACAAGGTTAACACCCAAGGGGGTAAAGTCCCCTAGGTTTAAAACCGTTAAATGGAAAGGTACCCCAATAAAAGACATCATACAAGCAATCCCAACTTCTTCCCATCACATTAAAAAAAAAAGAAACCCCAATTGGTTGCCCCTCTCCGCCATAAACTGAAGCTGACAAACCACAATGACTGGTTCACACAAGCCACAGGATGGGTTGAAACTCAGTTTGCTGGCTAGAAAAAATGTTTTGAGGACAGAAATGGGAAAAGGAGATAGGTGGATGGAGGAAGAGGCTTTATTTGATTTAAATCAGCCAAATTTTTCTTATTCTCTCCTTGCCTCGCTGAAACTGCAGTTCTCTCACTAGAAAACGAGTTTCCTCGAGTTTCCTCGCTATTACTCATTTCCATTTACCCCCCTTACAATGGGTATATTTTTCTCGAATTAGAAAGAATGGGGAGGGGAAGAGAAGAAAGGGAGGAAAGGAAGGAAGAAGAGAAAGGAAAGGGGAAGAAAGAAAGGGAGGGAGAGAAGGAAGGCAAAAGAGAAAGAAGGGGAAGAAAGAGGGAGAGAGGGAGAGAAGAAGAGAAAGGAAGGAAGGAAAAGAAGGGAAGGAGGAAGGAAGAAAAGAAGGGAAAGAGAAAGGAACAGAGGAGAGAGAGAGAGAAAGAAAGAAAGAGAAGGGAAAGAGAAGGGAAGGGAGGAAAGGAGGAGAAAGAAAGAAAGAAAGAAAGAAAGAAAGAAAGAAAGAAAGAAAGAAAGAAAGAAAGAAAGAAAGAAAGAAAGAAAGAAAGAAAGTTTAAGAGTACCTCACTCAACTTCCCCTAATGTCCTACAGTCCAGGAGAGTGGGACTCCAAATCCCATTTTCTTTCAGGCAGACCTTTTAATGGCCTTGCGGAATTTGGGAACATGGAATAATTCTTGGCCCAGGAAAAGAACAAGACCACAAAGTAGGAATGTATGACGGGAACTCTGAGAGAAGGAGAAGGAGAAGGATGAGAAGAAGAAGAAGAAGAAGAAGAAGAAGAAGAAGAAGAAGAAGAAGAA